GAGCGAGGATGGAGTTTCCGTGGAGTGAGGCGGGCCGTTTTCACTCCTCCCCACCCCCCACACGCACGTTCCATCCCGGAAAGTTCGGTTCGTGATCGTTGATCGAGTGTGCGTCATAGATACGAATGAACGATCCCGGAGCTAATTGACCTCTGTCGGTCGGGTAAGTAACCGTATCACGTCAAGATGGATCGATAAGTTGGTCGCCAGGCCCAGGTGTGAGCATGATTCATTACATGAGTGGACTCAGTCTAAGCCCTCAAAAACCCAATGGATAAATTCCATTGAGACCGTGTTTCTCATGCATAAAACCGGTTCCTGTGAATAAAATGCGATTGCTTAGGTATTTCTGACATTGAAATGCACACTTGACAAGATAATTAACAATGGTAACCATGGTGAAAGAAGTAATAGTATTTCACCTAAAATAGCAAGATTAAATTCGAACCCATTCACTAGCTAACATAAATCATATTTTTTCGTCATTCCTTGACTGATCAATACATTCAATCCACAATGCCAATGGCAACAATCTGTTGCCTGCGGCTTATCCCTTCCCTACTAAGCTTCATCGCATAGGTTCTTATCTTTATTCAATCATTGCTCAACCCGTCGCATCTTTTCACTTACTGATTATCTCTGTGCGATTATTTATAGTTTAGTGAATCGAACAGGTGGTGATATGAATGATTTACAGTTATCCATGATCTCACAAACGATGATAACTCTGTACTGGGTGCTCCATGGAGGTCGGTAAAATATTCTACCCACGGTTATCTTAATACTGAATGGCCAATAAGAGAAAAGGTTCAGTGGCACCGCAGATGCCACTTTGCAGTATGTTCCTCGTATGTGTTACCACGATAGATTGTGTAAAGGAACTACCTATCATCAAAGAGGAAACGGTGGTATGTTTCTATTCTGAACTGAGTTGGGCGGTTGTGTAAACATCTCACATTATTACTCAACTTCTCTGTAGTCTTTGACGTCTCCCGGATTATATTCATTCCGGTTTGTCGAAGATAGTGAATTTTTTCACAGGCAAACTTGCCAGTTTTTATTTTAGCGGATTAAAACGGTTGATTTGTTCTCAAGATTACCAAAGGAAACTGCGAGTCAGAATAATCAATTTGGGTTTTGGTTAATCTCACTTTCATAAGCAGTCGGTTGTGGGCTAACTCGAGGTTTGTTGGTCGTCATTGCAGCACGAATACCAGATTGGCTAGTCTTGCGAATAGCCGATGATGACGATGGTTGTTGTGGTGTTGTGGGCTGATGTTGTTGCAGTGGTGATACTGTTGTGAGAGTGTTCCCTCCGGAACGCATTCCCTCATCCCCGGATCGACCAGGAATTTTCTGTTTGAATAAGGATCGGATAGCAATGTTAATGGGCAACGATGAGCGGTACATTGTGATTTTGAGACATTGTGAAACGTATTGTCACAGATTTGTGAAAGATACCATTGCAAAATGAAACACGTGTGAAAATTGTCATTATCAACTAGTTTCTCGCTAAATAGATGAGACTTTAGTACAACAATCTGATTCAGCGGGTGAAACACAGTACACAATGAAATAGAGAGTTACATAAAAGGAAGCAGCGTGAAAAGTAGTGCATACGATTGCGTGTAAGACCGTACACTTTCCTGTTGGTAACATTATAACCGGTCCAGCGGAGCAATTCCGCGGGTTTCTAGCTTTGAGCTTTGGTCATTGCATTCAATCAGTTGTCGTCAATATTTTCAAGAGAGCAGGGAGAAGCAGCTTGATTTTGGGGTGTACTGAATTCACCAAGTTCATGATCAAATGACATGAGCTGTGTTTATGCACTCAGACCAAGATTACTTGAATCAGTGGACGGCTTGTAACAGATGAACACACAGAAAACAGAATAAAAAAAAAATTGTCCACGTATATTCATCTTTTGACGAAGGTGTCAATCTTTCAGTAGAATGTGATCTGAATTCAAACATCTGATACGATTATTACGAAATAGTGGAACTCAGTATACCCCGTGATCGTTACGCTTCTCTTTTTTCTTTTTCTTTTTCATTTTACTTCCTTTTATTGAATATACAAAGATACAATTTTTAGGAAGGGGGAAGCGGCCAATCAAAGGGCTGCCACACAACACACAAATGGGGAAAGTCAGGCGGTGGTGGTGGGATTCGAACACTCGTTCTCCGGGGTGATAATTGGCGACGTTACCACCGGGCCACCACCGCCCGTGCTTCAATAATTTAAACCACCAAAGCATTGATCACGGCGATACAAAATAGAGTGATTTGCTTTTTTCCTAACACAGTCATTTAACTTCAGGTTCCAAATGACTTTGTAGCCGAACTCAACATGAAACGATCGGAACAACGTTCGGTTTTTTGTCACACGTGATTTGCACTTGAAACGCGGATTCAGAGCGGGCACAATGGGCATGTTCGGATAGTGAGGATACGACACACTTCTACACCAGGTAGGGAATGAGGGGTCTGAAGCGTTATTGTCCTCGTAAAATCCTGAGCAGTAGCACATTTTCTAACTGAAATTTTGTATTCAAGTTACAATACTCAGCTCTTACCAAGTGTAGTTTTGCTCTCATCTACTAAATATTTTTGCCTCACCCGATACGTAATTCCAGAAGTGCGTATTTTTTTAACAGAAACCCGTCTCCTTTTGACCTTGACTCATGCACGCACCTCTCGCGTGTTCACCGGTGAAAGTGTTTCTGAACAGCAGATCCTCTTGACTATGGGGTTCAATCTGTCTATTGTTCATCAATCTAAGGTGTGTAATAAAAAATCTGCCTTAGCTGTGTAGCAATCGAATCGCATTGGTGAGGGACCAAAAGACAATTGGTTTTGTCCGAATATAGCACCAGCAAAATTTTCCGGATTTGTCTTGTGAAGCACCAAAAGAAAGTTTCCTAATTTTGAAGATATAGTAAAATGGACACCCATAATGTAAGCGCCCCCAGGGCATACACTCCCTCAAACAAACAGTTTCTGAGCAGGGATTGACAAATCAATTTTCTGTTCATCTGCCATCTCTTGAAAAGTGTTTGTGATACGTGTGTGTGTGAAAGGCCAATTCGGCTAAGATAATTTAACTCTATGCACAAAATTGGTCAAGAACAAACGGAATTTAAGTACTGGAGAATGAAACCGAGTTGTTACGATATTTTTAGGTGAAAGAAAACAGTGACTTTATCGGGAAGAGAACGAACAAGATTTCAGCATTATGACACATATCTTTGGGATAATTTGGAACGCGTCTCACTTACGACTCGCATAAAATACCAGGGTACTGGGTTTAGCGGAGCGGATTCCAGTGTTGGTTAGCGGGGTACCGAATTCTTAACAGTCAATCTGTCTTGAATATAACCTGTCACTATCAAACATGCCTAGCCAAATAGATCCAAACGACCTACACATTCATTTGCCGACTGAACTAGCTTTCTCTCTCTTTTACTGTTGGTATAAATTTTCTGGTCATCCGCAATCAACGTT